CCCCCCCCCAAGCGGCAGGCAGCAGAAGCAGCAGCAGAACAGAATTGGAAGCCTGAGATGGGGGAGGCATCACAGCCTTTGGTTATGGGAAAGTGGGCAAGGAGTGAGTTGGGAGAGGGGCTTTGGGGTCTCTGTGTGTGTGTGTGTGTGTGTGTGTAAAGAATATGTGGGGGTGTACAAGAGATTCCCAAGCTTGCTGGGTGAGCATGCAGCATTTGCAGCTCTGCTCTCCTGCTATAGGATGCTTAGAACAATTGAAGGGGAGATGTGTGTGTGTGTGTGTGTGTGTGTGTGTGTACTTGACTGAAGCTGTGTTGCATGTTCTGTGTCTTCATCCAAGCCTGTATGTCTGAACACACTTGTCTATCTGCATCCATGTATCTGTTTGCATGTGTTTTGTAGCTGGGATCTGCATCCTTATGTGTCTATATATTTGCCAGTACCTGCATCTGTGGTTTTTATCTGTCTGTGTTTTTCTAAGTCTCTACCTTCATGTGTCATGTGCAATTATGTATTTTGTGCTTACATATATTATTTTACAGTTTTCTGCATGTCTGTGTCCATACCTGAGTCTGCCTTGGACCTTTTCTCATGGCATTAGATGGTTTGTGTAGATTGCATGCTTGCTGAGACTCAGTGCACTTTCCCTTGGCTACTGTGGTACCATTTGTTGGTTTGTTTGTTTGTTGTTTTTGCATCATCTATCCTTTGCTCACCTCTCTCCACCAAGCATCTTTCTTTCTAACTCTAAGCCTCTAATCATTTGCAAAGGCCTCTCTGCTGCATGCAATATCTGCAGTGGAGAAAAACAACTTCATAGGAACACTCCCCTTTCTCTGGAACCATCCCGAATCTTCTCTGGCCTGCAGGAGTAAGTGGTTTTCTATCACTCCATATTTGGGGAGCTGAGAGAAGGGCTTTCTTTAGTTCTAAAAAAAATTGCTGGTGTGGGCATAGGCATGTGTAGCACGCACATACACACAGAGACACACACATAACTGAGAGAATGAGAGAGAAAAAAATATCAAGGTCCCTTCTTTACTGAGCAGAGCTCGCATCTGTTGCCATGGAAACCCACCCACTCCTTCCCCGAAAAATCACCAAGAAGAGGTGATGGCATCGAGAAGGGATTGGCTGAATCCTTTCTTTATTTTTTTCCGAAAAAGGCCTTTTTATAGCAAGAACAGGCCATGAGATCCCTTGCCCCTGTCTTGCACAGCTTTATTGGGGCTCTACAGGGACGTCACCCCACAACCCCTGTTAGAGAAGAAGTAATGTATCTTTTTCAGAGATTTTCCAGGAGGAAGACCTCCTGAGGAGTTGGAAGGTGGGTGGAGGATTTGGTTCTTCAGAATATTATGGAGACCCCTGGCTGCTTTTTCTCAGAAATTGGAGCGAGGATGTTGACAGAGGACTGTAAATGCAATGTGGTGTTTGTCTGCACAAGTATGTCTATGAGGAAGAGAAGGAGAGGTGAGGGGAAGGAGAGGGAGAGGAAGAGGGAAGACAGAGAATAAAAGAAAGAATGAATCACTTGCTAGGGCTTCAGAGATGAAAAGGTGCTAAACGATGTGGCATTCAGAGATCATATGAGAAACAGGAGCACAAGATACAACTTAAACTTTATGATGCAAGCAATGGGGTTGCAAGTTCCCACTGGACCACAGCTGTCATTGCTTCCTGGATGCTCCAGGGAAGCTGAGACCAGAGCTGGCTTGGAGGACCCAGAAGCTTACTGTTCCTAACTCTAGTGCCAGCCTGACTCTCAAAGGCCTCCTGAAAAGCTGGCCACCAGCCATGTTGCTCCCTCAAGTGAACTCTAGCACCCTGCCAAATGGCGGGATGGTGGAGAAGAAGAGAGAACCTTGCTGCCTCCTGTGCTTGGCTTGCTCCAGAAATGGGGTCACTGAGGACCCCATTGGAAACACAGACCAAGAATCTGACTATTGAAATATGCATCTCATCCCAGAAGGCTATTATCATCCTCAGCAAGCAAGGACATGGCCCCTGTGGAAGGCTTAGTGCCACTCAAAGTGATGGAGTAAGGGGATGGAGGGCACTCTCTTTTTCATGTATTTATTTATCATGTGGGGACACAAATGTGCTGTGGTGTGCATGTGTGGAGGT